GTGCTTTTGCAAACCCTCATCCAGTACCCCCAGATGGTGGGTGATGGGCTGGACGAGGTCACCCGTGCGCGCATGGAGCTGCGTGCAAAGCTCCTGAACAGGGAGATGACTCGGCTGCTGCAGGAGCTGGAGCAGAGCAGCCTGGAGCGCAGTGTCAGGGCCTGGGGAGCCCTGCTCTGGGCTGCCTTGCAGCAGGGGCAGTTCTGGGCTCTGGCTGGAGTCCTGGGCCTCCTCTTGTGGCTGTGGTTTATCCGCAGCAGAAGGAGCCGCCAGCCAGGCAACAATGGCGAGGAGGAGGAGGAAGGAGATGGCGATGGTGGTGGAAATGAAGGGGAAGAAAACAGTGATGTGAGTGTGCAGGCAGTCTACAACGATGATGATGCAAGTGAAGGAGAAGACCACGATCTTGCAAATGAAGTAGAAGAAGAAGAGGATGTTATTGCCCACAACCTGAGACGGCATTTAGAGGAGTACAGAGTGCAGCTGATGAAAGGTTGCGCTATTACAAAAGTCCTGGTGGACAGCTTCACCATGTTCTTTGCAGACCTCTTGTCAGGCTTTTCATACCCAGTGCCGCAACGAGCCATCGGGGTGGGCAGTGCCTTTGAAGGTTGGAGTCCCCGGGAGGAGGATGTTGTGTACTTTTTCCTTGTACCTCTCAGTCCTCCCCTGGGGTACACCTTCCATCTGGAGATGGTCACTTTGGGGCACTTGCCAGGGAGGAACTTCTGCGTCCGCGTGGAGCCGGTGTGCACCTGCCCGAGGGAGCAGCAGGACGAGAACGTGCTGTGCTCCGTCCACCACCCAGAGGAGGAGCAGAGGAGAAATGAGGAGCCCACCTTCCTGAACACCCTCTGCACCGGCTCCTACCTCGATGTGGATAAAACTGCCCGCTGGTTCTACCAGTTGGTGAGAGCGAGCTGGCCGGCTTTGCCTCAGTCACACAGTTGGCAATTAGTGCTGCTGCCCCCCAGCCGCTGCTGCAAATTCAAGGTGACTAGAGACGGAGAGAGCCTGACGGTTGAGCTGCTCTTTGGGGTGCAAGAAGGTAATTCAGACATCTACGTGAGCAGCCAGCCTACAGAGGCCCTCTTCACCCCAAGCACAATGTGGCCTGAGACCTACGCCGTGGCAGAGATGGAGTTCTTAAAGCTCATTACCGAGCAGGCTCCACCTCACAGCTGCCACCTCAAATGCCTGCATGTCTTGGCTCGAGCTCTTCTGGGCATAGGCTTCTCCACCTATACGATGAAGACCATTGTGATGCACCTCCTGAACACCGGACCTCTGTCAGGCTGGCGCATGACACTTTTCCGGCGGCGGCTGGAGGATGCCATGCAGTACCTGCACAGCTCCCTCAAAGAGAAACGCCTTGACCACTTTGTTGTGGGCAACCGGACATTTCCTCAGGAGATTCTCTTGCCCCCGGATGTCAAAACCGCCCAGCCACCCAACCTCTTCCATCGCCTGGCGCAGGATCCGGCCGCCCACGCGCAGGCAATGGACGAGTGCGATGAACTGCGACATCGGCTCTCAACAATGCTGCGAGACGGCCGTTGAAAGAAGTCTTCCTGCACACAGCTGTGCTTGGGGGACTCACAGCTGGTCCAAGACAACCACCTCCTACTGCAGGCAAAAAGAGAGGAGCATGTGGGACAGAGAGAGGGAAGAGAAAACCCTGTGCAGCAGCACTCTGCCATCAGCATTCCCCTCTCAGCAGTCTGCCCAGCACAGCATCCAGTGATGGCCGGGGGGGGCTACAAAGATGACTTTCATCCTCCTTTCCCCTCCCACTCTCACAGTCATTGTGGCCATTGCAGATGGGCCCAGGAATTCTTTCTGGCAGCTCCAGCTGCTCAGGGATCAAGCCAGAGGCATCGCCACTATTCCTCCTTGTGTTTGTGGTGGCCTGGGTGGAGAATCTCCTCATCCCAGGCCCTATTCCTTCTTGATCCCTGAAGGGCCATCTTTAGGTCAGCGTTGTGCACACCCAGTTGGACCTGACCTGAAATTTTTTAGATATCAATTTAGAATTTTTTCTTTAGTATATAGATATTTATAACTAATAGGACCTAGAGATATTTACTATAGCACATAGATATAGAATTTATTTCATATAATATTATCTTTCTATATAAACATAGCACATATAAATCTCTCTTAGTGTCTCCCCTTGTCCCCTTAAGGGACATCTTTAGGTCAACATGACATCAAGACTGTCTGCCCCAGACCCTGTTAGAGCTGACCTTAATCTTTTAATATACAACTACATCATTTTTTTATTAATGCATACTTATATTTTAGAGGTAGTTCACTTGAT